GGGGGGGGGGGGGGGGGGGCGGGAAAAAAAAAAAAAACTGTTTTCAGTTTTTATCCCGTTCGAGGAGGCTTTCATGGTTAGGATTCCCAACCCCTGAAAAAAGCGCCAGTCCCAGCGAGTTTAGGCGGCCCTAACGCGCACCACCCGCGCCTCGTGAGCCCCACGCGTAATGGGTAATGTAATATACCAACGGGTCCTTTGCGTGCCATGCAGAAGAAAGTGCGAGACAAAACGCTGTGCCAACAGAGAAAAACCCACCCGAGAACCAAAAAAGTTGAAATCCTACATATGCATATGTAGGCGACCGCGTTGGATGACTACAGAAGAGAGTACGACGCTACAAAATAAAGACATAAATCCCTCAAGACCCAATATCGGATGTTCTCAACCTTACGGCTGGTTGGCGGCTGGTAGAAAAACCCCACGTTGTGTAGTTCATTGAGACAGGTAACGCTAACGGCAGCAGCAGCAGCAGCGGTAGGTGACCCCGGCAAACAATCCCCGCTGAACTTGCGCGCATCCTGTCGATGCAGAAACACAGCAATGATGGTGCTACAGCAGTTTCACTGCTGTAACCGTCGCAGCTGCGACGGTGCTGCTGTCTGCTGAGCTTCTGCGTGTAATATGTTTTTTCTCCGAAGTCCACAAAGCTGTCAGAGGTGTTTGTGTGCGATTGTGGGGACACGTACATACACAGAGACGGCGGCCATTCTGCCAAGTGGTACAGCGTGCAAATAGTCTAGATTCCCCCTGTATTGCAATTGCTCGGTGTGGAATAGCTCTGCTGCTGGAACAACTGCGCAGGCAGGTGAAACCGGTAGCTGCGCAACCAAATCGCAGGTTTGCAGACTCTGCTCCTCGCCCGTCGGCACGTGACGTGCCCGTCGAGTCCGCACGGTAGGAAGCGCCAACTGTCTTCAACTTCATTGTGCGCGTGCCCACCTCCAGTATCTAGCGCTCCTGAGACAGCCTTTTACCGCACGTAGGTCTTGGTTGATCGTTACTGGTAGCGAATAGCAGCAGCATCAGCAGCGGCAGCGGCAGCAGGAGTCACATCAGGGGCACATTTCTCGTGGAGGGTGCGGTGTATGCGCGGGATTCAACGATAACAGCCAGCAGGGAACACGAATAAACAATCAATACAAAGCCCGACACCCTCCAACAAGCCCAACGCATCAACAACATTAGCCCCACCAACATGATATAAAGTCCGCCACAATAGCAATGGCACCCAGGAACACCACCTCTGCCTCAAGAACGCCCTCGGCCTTCAAGCGCCACTTCAAGAACAGCAGCAGCATCACCGCCACCGTTTCCGTAACCCCACATCCCATACAACCAAACCTCTCTGCAGCGAATGACGTCCGCAAGAAGCCAAGCACACGCACACATCCGACGAAAGCTCGTTGTCGGCCAACCCACAAAATTCCACCCCCAGGTTGACCCTGAGAGTGGCAGAGCTGGAGGAGGAGAACAAAGCCCTCTCCGACGCCAACGTCCGCTTATCCCAAGGGCAGGGACGCGGATATGAGAACGAAGGGGGAGACAACAACAACAACGACAACGGCGAAGAAAGTCATCATGCGGACGGCGTTGGAGTGGCGGATGACCCCGCCGCCCCGTTTGTAGTTCCGGGAGACAGGCGAGGAAAGTCAGCATTCGCTCTGCTTGCTTGCTTGCTTGCTTGCTTGTTTGCTCGCTTGTCTGCCTGCTTGGGTGTAGGGCAACCGGTTGCATGAGGGTCCGCAATCGCCCCAACGTAACGGCTTCGTTGTGTATGTGAAATGCTCTGCACTCATGTGCCTGGGTATGTTGCACCTGCTGTGACCACGGAGAAATTTTTTGGGGCTTTGTGGAGACGTCAAAAGGTTCGTTTTGCCGTGGGACATGGAAGGAATCGGGCGAAATCCATCGCCCACACGGCACACTCGAAGGACGCAGGAAAAGCATCCCGTTGTGGAGAAAAGTCTTATGTGCCTCACCCGACATGGTCGTGGTGCTGAAAGGTGCAGAGCCTCCTGTCACAAGCAGCGAATGAGCCCCCCCCCCCCCCCC